GCCAGAACTTCCACTCCCTGGGTCACAGCTCAGTTCTGGAAGGTATTTCGCCCTTCCCTCCTGAATGGCTTCTCCTAGGTGATTTTGGAAGAGATGCCTGTTATTTGCACTTGGCAGAGTACACTGGGTTGCAGGATGGACCCCATGCCAGCATCGTCTCCTTGGCCGTTAACAGAAGTATCCACCACATCCCTCTTGAGGAGGCAGCATAGCCCACAGGCCAAGCACACACAGCACCCCCACATCACCTAGGCAAGGCTAGAATTGGCCCTGCCTTCTTACCTTGTTTCTGAAGAGCAAATAGGACTGGTGAAAGATAGAGCCATAGGCAAGGTACCCCCACAGCACAGCAACAGAAATAGAAGAATGCACTTGGCCTTGCCCAATTCTAATTTAGTCTCTGAAAATAGCTCAAACTCTGGGAGAACTGCATCTACCCTCCTTGATACTGAGAGAATTCAGAAGTTATGTGAGGAATATGTTAGCCATTTGCCAATATAAGATTTAAATTAAGTTAAAAAAAATTAAAGATCACAATGTTTATGCAGGTTTTAAAATTGAGCAAACAAGATATTTGCCACGTCACTGATGCAAGAAGAAGAAAGGAAAATCAGTCTCCCTCTCCATTAGATTAAAAATCTAAATCCAGAAGAATTAGTTTACATTGCCAGTTCTCAACTTGGTACCACAAGAGTGGACTCGTTTTGTTCAAATGAGACACTATTAGATCATCCTCACATCTACACGTCTACCTCAATCTGCTTGGGCTGCCACAAGAAAGCGTGTGGCTTAAACAACAGAAATGTATTTTCTCAGAGTTATGGAAGCTGGAAATCCAAAATCAAGAGACAGCATGGTTCAGGAGAGGGCTCTCTTCCTGGCTTGCAGGTGGCCTTCTTGCTGTGCGCTCACATGGCCTTTCCTGGCATGTGCACTGAGAGTCGGGGGAGAGGGAAATCTTCCTCTTTTTATAAGGCCACCAACCCTATTGAATTAGGACTCCACCCTTATGACCTCAGTTACCTTAGTTACCTCCTGAAAGCCCTATCTCCAAATACAGTTACATTTGGGGTTAGAGCTTCAACATATGAGCGGGGCAGGGGGACATAATTCAGTCCCTAGTGATGTCTGTGATGAGTTTCACTATGCCTCAAGCACACAGTTCTTCCAGCCCAGCACACAGTTCTTCTCATGGGCATTGTGTCTGTGAATAAACCGTACAGCCCACTTTCTTTCAAGAAACTTACAAAAATAATATCCATCCACAATCTGTCATCTTCCCCTTGTATAGATCGGCTGCTCTCCCCCACTTGAAATCACTAATAAACTGCAGAGATAATTGCCTGTCTTAGGGCTGCAGTCCTCCCACATAACCTGAAGCCATTGCTATTTGTCACAACAGATCATTTCTTGAACTCTGACAGCCAGCCCTGGAAGCAGGAAGAATGCTCATTTTCCTCACCCTGCCGGAGCTTCAGAAAGAACTCAGCTCAAAATAGATGCTATTGAAGCAGGAGACACATGAGGAGGTCCACAGCCTATCAATACCTCAACACCGGCCTCTCCTCGCCCTCCAATCCTATTGACTGCGTGAGAGCCACTGCTGAAGGCTTTGTAATCCAAAACCATTAAGTATTCATGGGACTGGCAACCACAAATAGAAAATGAATTGGATTGCTCCCTTTCAAATTAGTATAATGACATTATCTGGGAAATGATGATTTAAAAAGTAGTTCAAAACTTGGGTTTGAATGTTCTTCCTACTATTCTGCCCAGGATCCTCTAACTTTTACAACAGAGAAGAGCCCTCCTGGTGCTGTGGAGACATTCCCAAGAATGAAAGAGGCCAGAATCAACCTTGACTTTGTACATCCATTCTGTTTTCTGGCCAGAAACTAGACTTCTCCTTCCTCTGTACTTCATAGCCAATCCCTGAGCATGCTAAAGTTTACCTCCTAGGTATTTCTTGATAGTGCCTCTCTGGCATTCCATCTACCCCTTCTCGAGTCCAGGCTACTACTCCTTCTCCCACCTGGGTAAACATATCTGCCTCCTAATGGGTTGCTGTGCCTCCAGGTTCCCTTCTCTATTCCAGCCTTCACACGGAAACCTGAGTCAGCCTTCTAAGACAGCAAACTTCCTTGCCACTTTCCCGCATTAAACCTTTTAGTGGCTCCCCATGGCCCTCAAGACAAAGCCGACGCATTGTAGCACAGAAGACAAAACCTTCTATGACCCAGTCATCCTGCTAACTCATGATGTCACCATGGATCAGGCCTCCAAAGGATGCTGCAAAAGACAATCAAGCCACACGTGTTGTCAACTGAAGTTAGCCTTACATACCTCTTTCATCCTCATCCTCAGGAGTCCAAGAACCACATAGGTAGAGGGGCTCTGAAGAAACACAATATGGAGGTGCTTGTGGGCTGGCATCATCTCAAAGACCTCCCTCTCCCCTGGGTTGGACTTCAAAAGCAGTCCTCTGCTTAACAGTGTTTTAGATAAAGAACAAAAATATTCTACAGGAAGTTACACTCATTTAAATTTACACTAAAGACGGGATTGAGAAACTCTTTAAATCATGTGGATAAACTGCAAAGCAACCTCATAAAACAACATTTTAAACGAATCATCCTCAAAACAGATTCTTCTCTCTGGAGTAGCCCTGTTCCATTCATCTGCGATTACAGTTGTCATTTTGCACAACATGAGAATGACTTTGACAGTTATGCTGATCTGGGGAGAGGAAAGGGGACAAGTTGAGCAGGACAGATTAGTTCTGGAAAATTAGGCATTTGCTGGGTCACCCTGGAGCTTTCAGCTTTGAATTTGGCCTCCCAGAGCCTTAAGTAGGCCTGAAACCTTTCTAAAACGAGAACTATTATAGTGCCAGTTGCACAGAGCAATTTTTGAGCTGCCAACCAGATGGGAGCCCTGTGGAGATCAAAGGCTGCCAATATCCTAAAGGCACAAGCCATGGCTCCGCCTCCATATCTTGGACACAAAAGTTAGAGCATAACCTGGGCACTCTGAGCCCACTTCCCAGGAAACACATCAGTCCACTGAAGGAATTCTACCCTGAGGAATGCAGAGCCAATCAACACTTTGAACGAAGAAGCCCCTCTTGCAGACTATTTCCTTTCCTCATTTTCCATTCTCTATTCTCCTAACCAAACCATGTCCAAAATGCTACCTGGAGAACCCCACGCTCAGCACAGCTGACGTTTGATCATCATAAAGCTAGCCACAAAACTGTCTATTTATCCAAAGGAAAAATGTGCATGCATCTAACTGGAGGCTTTCTGCTGAATGTTCAGGGTCAGTGCAGGAAGACAAGGACTCAAAGGCTTTGGCATATTCCATGTCTTCTATCTGGTCCAAAACTGTAGAGGTCATGTTGCCAGCTTCAGACAAGGCCCAGGTCTAAGAGTGTTATTGTTAAGTACCTGGGATGTGCTCATTAGAATACTGCTCAGCCTAAGGCCGGGCACAGTGGCTCACGCCTGTACTCCCAGCCCTTTGGGAGGCTAAGGCAGGCAGATCACTTGAGGTCAGAAGTTCAAGACCAGCCTGGCCAACATGGTGAAACCCCATCTCTGCTAAAAATACACAAATTAGCCAGGCTTGGTAGCAGGCACCTGTAATCCCAGCTACTCAGGAGACTGAGGCAGGAGAATGACTTGAACCTGGGAGGCAAACGTTGCAGTGAGCCAAGATCACTCCACTGCACTCCAGCCTGGGAGACAGAGCATGACTCTGTCTCAAAAAAAAAAAAAAAAAAAAAAAAAAAGTGCCCAGCCTAACAATCTTCCCCTGCTTTCACCTCTTATTCTTCCACCCTGAGCACCAGAAGAAAGAGGAATGTTTAGTTTCTAAATTTCCATTCATTGGCTTTATCCTGAGGTCCCCATCCCTGGATGCTCAAGTCAAGGATCTGCCTATTTTTGCTGGAGTCTTGGTTTCCTCATCCCCGTGAGAATCATAGCTATGGCAGTTTTCTCCAAACTCCCCTCATGGGGCTGAGTGTTTAAGTCTCAAGGCTAAGGAAGAGATTTTTCTTAGAAAGAGCAGCAGAAGAAACCTTTCAAGGAGGCCTCCTGGGATTACAGCAGGGGCAGGAGGAAGCCAGCCGAGCCCATGTGTCTAAGGGAGTTTGCTGAGCCCAGGGGTACCCTTCAGTCCAGACAGGCTCCACATCAGCAGAAAGGTGACTATGGTCTGCCTCCCCAGAACTCTCAGTGACCTCCCATACTCTAGCTGAGCCATTCATTCCTTGGCATGTACATGATCCCTTCCTAAGCTGTGGGTAAGAACAAATCCTCCTGGTGGAGGTGAAGAGGATCATCCACTGGGTTCCTGGCCAGTGCATACAGATGAACTGATCAGATCATGAGTCTCTGGGGTCTTGTGGTGGGTACCTGTGGCAGTCACTGCTGGTGCCTTGCCCATTTCTCCTCCTCATTCTCATGTCATGCCTATGACTTCCAACTACTTTCGGCAAGCTCCTGATAGTTTCTGCCCTAGGGTTTTCTCTGGCCAGTGGGCCCACTTAGCCCATGTGCAGAGCAGGCCAGAAGTGCTAGGAAGTTAACCTGCCCCACCACTGAGAGCAACCCTCCACCCATGATGGATAGGTAGTTGAAGGACCAATGCCCCAGCTCCCTCACTCCTTGGTTGTGATAACTCTGATCACATTTCACACAGTCTCCCAGGGCTCTTGAGCCTGATGCACCCTCAGGTGCCCACAGAGTCAGCCTGCTGGCTAACACACCTTTTATCGGCTTCTTGCCCTTCCATCTCTTACTTCCTCACTCCACATTCCACCCCCACCTCCCAGAGTCTCTTGGGATTAGAGGCCAGGTCTATGTGGCTCCAAAGTCCAAGATCATTTATAACACCAGGCTGACAACCACCCCCAACCCCTGTGTACCCAACTGCCTCTCGGAGGCAGCCAGCAAAGTGGGGCACTCTGGGGTCCTGTGCTCAGAGCCCACACTGACCTGTGAGACCCCAACTTAGCCACAGGTGCTGCATTCCTGGCATTCCATGCCTGTTTTCTGCATTCGGATCCCGACCCAGGTGTTTGGCTGTACATCCAACGTCCAGCAGGGTTTTTTTCCTCCTTTCTTTCTTTAAGCTGGGCTGCTAAAAAAGAAAAAGAAAAAAGAAAAAGGCTATAATAGTGGAGATTCTGGCACTGGATGACTCTTCAGAGCCATTCCAGCCTTGAATTTCTGTGAAATGATCCACAGCAGCCTAAGGCAAAATTGGATCTATAATGAAATTTCTCCCCCTTAAAAAGTCACAGTTTAATGGCTGTTCTAATTGCTGGGGAATTTATGAAAAGGGACTGCAGCCTAATTCTGGAAATTAACCTAGCACCAGCTGCAGCTTCCTGGCCCCAGTGCTGTGGACATATATCCTTGTCTTCACACATATGCTCATCTGGACATGGGGTGGCCTCAGGGGCCTGAGGCATGCAAGATGAAATCCCACAAATCTCCATTATTACTTCCATGATATATTTCAAATCCCGCCCTCCATCTTGGTAATGACGCCTCTGACATCCCTCCAAAATAGGAGGGAGGGAGGACAGGTGGGAATGAAAGACGGAGAGAGGTTCCCCTTGTGTTTGTCCTATATTTACCATCTCTGTTCTGCCACATTCCTGGGTGTGGTGAAGGCGTTTCCATCCTCTGAGACAGGTCTCCTCATGCAGAGACAGAGAGTGTTGAAGAGACTGCCATCCATTGACTGATGTAAATCTGCCCAACGTCACCTCCATTTGGTCCCATATCCTCGGGCTGCCTTACACTAATCCAGATCTACTGGGACGATCTCTCCAGAAGACCTCTGGGACCCAAACTTGACGTCACCCCTCTTCTGTTCTCTCCTCCAACAACTTACCTTTTCCCCTCTCCATGAGCAGATATATGGTAAGTCCCCTAAATCCCGAGTCCATCAGAGGATAACCCAGCCTTAGACAGGGACCTTCAAGATATTCTGTGTTTGCCTAAAACCTCTGAAGGATTCTCCCCAGGCTCCTCGGGGTGTAAACTGACCCCCTTCTGTAGTTGTAGCACCTCCATGAAAAGGCTTTTAGAGTCTTTACTAAGGCATAGATGGGCAAATGGGAAATTTGCAGTTATTCAGAGAAATTGGGAGTCTTAGACTCCACCTGTAATCTCAGAATGTATTTTATGAGTAACATCCCTACAATCATCTCCCCAGATCCTACCCATCCTTCAAAACCCAGCCAAATGTCACCTTCTCTAGAAGAGAAGCCAAATTCCTTGTGTCAAAGGAGGCTTCCCTTTCCACAATTCCCTGAGTTGCCCTCTTCGGGTGGTGCCTCACATCACCCTCACTTGTGTGCATGCCTCAGCATTCTCAGTGTGCAGGGGGTTCATGGTGGGCAGGGCCTGTATCCGTCATCTCAGGCCCCAGTCCCCACCCCCAACAGTGCATAGAGTCTTTTTGCTGAGAAGAGTTGCTCCACAAATGTTAAAGGAGGGAGGTGGATAAAGGAATAACTTTCAGGTCCCACCATGACAGGAGTGACCATGGGAGGGCAGTCAATGATGCCCCCCTCTCCTAACATGAACACTGAAATATACTGTATACGCACAATGTAGTAATAACAGGACTGAGTGCCTATACCACCAGTAGCTCACCGCAGCAAGTGTTGACTCCTCAGCAAAATGGAGATGGGAGAGAAAGAAAGGAGAAGAGATGAGGAAGAGAGAAGGAGAGTCCTTGTACCAGTCAGGGTCCAGTCAAAAAACCATGAAGTACTTTAATAGAAGGGTTTTAAGACAAGAAACAGGTTCCAGAGTATTGGAAGAGCAGAAAGACCACATGGGGAAAGAGGGGGCGACCCAGAGCTCAGCACTAGCAGGAATCTGCCACCACTTCTAGGCTCGAAGGTCAAAGGAAAGAGGTGGCATTACTAGAGCCCAGGAGACAGAACCATAGGCATGACCTGGGCCCACAGAGAGAGAGAGAGAGGCTGGCCATGGATAATAGAACCACAGTGGGGATGCAGCCGTTGTCCTAGACACTGCCCCAAACAGACACAAGGAGAAATACCCTGGCTTCTTCCTTCCTCCTACCCTCCAGTCTCCTATTGGTGCCTCCTATTGGCCCAACATAGGCAGAAACCAGAGGCAAGGGGGCCTGAGAAATGTTAGCTCGAGCAGTCAGCCACCCCATGGGGCAGACAGAGCAGGGCCTGACACGGATCTGAGCAGCAGCAGTCCAAGGACCAATACTCTTCTTTCATTTCTCCCACAATAAGCACCTCCCTCCCTCTGCGTGATCCTGGCCTCTCCTTTTTTCACGGATGGGCTCCTTTCTCCCCAGGCTCCTCCTACCTCCTATGCTGAGCCAGGCCATAAGTGGGGCTACTTCTATGAGTCTGTGGCAAGAAGGCAACCAGCAGGCCAAGGTGGGTGGCTGGCTGGACCTTGGATGGTCAGTCCCTGATCAAGGAGCACCAGGAGGTCCGGCCTGGATAATGTGGGACTGAGGGCAGTGCAGGCAAAAATTACCCAAACTTGGCAATAGGCCCAGGGGAATTTGGAACTCCCAGCTCTCACAACCCACCCCCCACATTCCAATGGGCCCATAAAGTCAACTCTCTCAGGATGATAGAGTCGACCTCAACTCTCAGAACTTGTTAGGATGCATAGATCGGGGCATTACCCTCTAATTCGTTCTGAAGAGAAGCACCGAAGTGGTTTGGTCCACATTAGAGAGGAATTAGGAAGCCTGCTTTGCAGAAACACACATGTATGCAAGCGCGCGTGCACACACACACACTTATGTACACACATACATGCTGGAATTCTCTGGATATTTCCCCAAAGTTCTCCTTAAAATGGATTCTTCTTTTCCCCTGGATAAGCCAAGGCTTTGGCTTAAGGGCCCAGTGTTCTAACATTAAAAAGCCACTGTTCACCAGAAACACACATTAAAACCTGGGAGCCAGTAATGCTGAGAGCAACTGACTCTGACATTTAAGCAGAGGTCATGTACCCATGGATGTTTATAGGACAACATGGAAGAAATCCCACTTTGCAGAAAAACAGCTGGGTGTGGAAAAACATTGTTTATACTTGAGCATCTGCCTCAGGAATTTGTCACTTTAAATAAGCTCATTGCCACCCACCTTGTCCAAACGTTCATCAGAGAATGGAAAAGGGCTGGCGAGGGCAGGCAGGACTGGCCATGCAGACTCAGGCCCTTAGCATCCCAGCCTCGCCATTCTGAGTTGGCCTAGCCCAATCCCTGCCCTACCCCACTGTCCTGAGGTTTATTTTATCAGGTTCAGCCTGGGTTTTACGGCCTGCCATTGACTTTTGGAGAGCACAGCGGGTGCCCAAACACAGGAGATGGGGCAGTGGTGGCCATTCAGTTTATCTAGAGGAAGTCATTCTTGGGGCCTGGAGATACCTATAGGAGAGATTTCCTGAACTGGCTGCATTCCCAGAATGTGTCCACTCCTGCCCCTCACCAGGATGTGAAGGCTGACCCAGTGGGACTCTGAGGGTCTCCTTCCTGATGGTTGTCATAGCCAGCACTATAGGAAAGAGTCTAGGGAGGTTTGTCTCCTGCATTCTTGTTTCTCCTATCAATGATCTTCTTCCCCCTGTTCTACCTGGGGGCACCCCAGAAGGCCTTAAAAACACGCAAAAATCCAAGATACCATCAAGCCCACCATCAGGGATCTTGGGAGCAGATGCATACTAATAGGGAACTAAACCTTAAACCCCAGAGCTAACTCCAGAGTAACACTGCAGTGGTGGGCAGTCCATGTTGAGCTCTGGCAGTCCTCCTCTTCTACCCAGAAGGCCACATCATGTCCCACAGAGTCTGTGGGAGTGCAGCCATCTAGGTGTGGATGAGAAGGACCCTGATCAGGAGCTCTAGAAACAAGTTCACCTCTCAGCGAGGAACTGTGACCTCCTCCAGTCCCAAGGAGGGAGTGCCCATCTTGCCAGCCACGTCTCGGCTGTCCCCCGCCACCTCCACTCCATGCCCCTCATCTGCTCTCAGGACCCCTCCATCTTCACAGTACACAGCAGGGGCTCTCTGGTGCTGTGCAGCCTCTGTGCCTGCGCACATGCCTTTCCTCCTTCTGCAGGGTTCTTCCCCACCCAGAAAACCCTTCCCTCCAGGGACCAGGTTAACTGTCACTTCCTCTGGGAGGCCTTTCCTCATCTTACCCTCCCCTACCAGGGTCACACCCTTCCCCAAATCAGGGAAACCCCTCCTCCTTCTGATTGCCATGGCTGCTATTGCCCATCTTGAATAAAAGACAGTGAGGACCTCTGAGCACGTGGCTCATCTCCCCTGTGGACAGACAGCCCCACAAGGACAGGGATCAGAATGTGTCACCAGCCCCGGGCCTGGCACAGCGATATTCCACAACTCAGTTCACATAAAGAGAAGGAAACCACATCACTTCATTGTATTAACAAAGCTTTGTCACCTGATTGGGATTGACAATGTTCCACAAATCTGATCTGTTGGCCATAGACATAAAAGCAATCTCCTCTATCATCTGATCCAGCCAAGAAAATGCCAAGCCAGCCACACCAGCCAAAAACAATCACTGTCTTTTCTATGTATCTACAGACTCAAACATGCTTCAAACAAGCACCAACTTTTGATAAAGTTCCTCTGGCTTTGGATTAATTTAAGGGGTTCCCCACCTTGCCAGTACTCATTTAAGAAGACCCATAAAAACAGACAAATCAGGGAGGCATATTCACTTTACAAGAGGCAGGCATAGAATCCCAGTTCCCTCGGAACAGCATTTGCCAAACCGTCATTCTCACACCATTGTTGCAATTTTCTCTGCCATCATCTATTTACCATCTACACTATTATTTATTTTATATTTCTTTTCCATATTAACATGAAAATGACTCTCTTTTACTTAGTTTTACTCATTCAATGCATTTTATTTCTCTTAACATCCACTAAACCAAACAAAACAATTGACATTTCTAAAAGGTTGTATAGAACCTAAAATATTTTTGCCTCTCCACTGGGTTCTGTGTGTCCCACTTGCGGGTGGCCCCGGTTTGCTCTGCATGCCTCTAGATGCACTGGGATGGAAATGTCAACACTCTGCCTCACCCCATCACTGCACTATCGTTCCTTGGTTCTCTGGATGCCTCATCCACTCTGCCTGGCAACTCTCCAGCACCCAGCTAAGGAGGTGACGGTGAGCAGAAGCTGCAAACACTAGAAGGCCGAAGACAGAAAGGCAAAGCCAGGCTTTGTGCTCACTTCACGGAACAACCACACCTGCCCCAGCTCCCACCCACATGCTTTCCATCTTCAGAGCCGCTCCTGCCGACAAGAGAAGCAGCACAGAGAGCCTTTTCTCACAGAGATCCAAGAGCTGTAAGCTCTGTGAAGGTGAGGCTGGAGAGCCTTGCATTCCTCATGGGGTGTCTGGGGGGACAGAGGCCATAGCAACAGCAACAGCAGTAATAATGATGACAACCTGTGTTCTCGGAAGTCTTGCTGCACAGGTGCCAGGCACATTTTGTACAGCACCTGGCACCACACACCGTTGAGTAATAGCTAAACTTCTGCAAGGTTAGGGAGAACAGAAAGGCCACAATAACGATAAATGTGATTTCCTGGGTGCCTCCTCTGTGTAAGGCTGGGATAAACCCTTGCTTACATTTGCTTATTTAAGCCTCACATGGCCCCTTAAGGTACTATTACCAATGGGGAATGTGTTTATAGAAGGGGAGCCTGAGGCTCAGACTACTGAAATGAAGAGACAAGCCTAAGGTCAGGTGGAGCCTTCATGTTTGAACAGCAGGAGGAGTCCATATCCAGTTTATAAGGCTCCAATACCCCCGAGCCTTCCACTGCTTTCCCAAACCTGCCTGAGACCAACCTTCCCCAGACTTGTTGGTATCCTCAGGCAGACACTATCATCCACTTGGGATGGCCAAGAGCCTTGAGCACCATGCCAGTGGGGAAACACCTGTCTTCAGAATTCCCCATTAGCTGTCCTGGTCAGTGAGCAACCAGGACCCTGGAGCTAGGTGAGGCACTAAAATGGGGAGTTAAGAGGAGACAAAGTTTAGCCAGGGAATTGTATCAGCAACCTCAGGGCTTCCCAAGAGCAAACTCTTTATGCTAAAAGTCTCATACTATAGTCTTTATGCTAAAATTCTCCCTTTCAAAGCAACAAATGAAGAAGGTATGCCCATGCACCATCCACCTTTGCTGGAGCAGCATGTTTATAGGTAGCTAACATGATGGAGAAGGCGCCTTAGCATACAGATTTCATTTGCGCCCAGTCGGGGGGAGTCTGCAGTGCAGGGTGACTCAGAAGGAGTTTCAGCTGCTCTGAGAAGCTCTGCCCTGCAAGCCCCCGCATATTCAGCCCTCATCCTGCCCATCCATCCTTGTGGCCCCTGCTCCTCACATGATCAGATTCTAATGTAGCTATTCAGCTTCATTGATCTTTCTATTAAATCCAGAAACACAGTCTTTCTATTATTACCATTTTAAACTAACATTTATTTCAGAATCTCTTGGCCAGTCTCATCTGTTTTATTATATTTTAATTAACATTTTATCATTACAAATGTAATACATGTACATTGTATAAAATTGGAAAATAAAAAACATAGAGAACATAAAATTGCTCAAATCTAACCATCCTGATGTAAACACCATTAACATATGATATATATTTTTTCTTCTTTTCATCTTTTCTCTATGTCTCTAATTATTTTTAATTAAAAAAAGGAATCATGCTATATATAGCTTGCATCCTGGTGTTTTCACTTAATCCATTATGAGTATTTTCTCATGTCATTTAATGATAGGATTCTTCAAAAACATGATTTCTAATGACCACAGAGTATTCATCATACGGATGGGCCATGATTTAGTTAACTGTTACCATATTGTTGGACATTTCAGCTGTTTCCAATTTTTTCTATTAAAATAATGCTACAACAAATATCTGCATATGTATATAAGTCTATATGTGAATCTGTGATTCTTCTTCAGGATAAATTTAGAGAAGATGAATGGACTGGTCGCAAAGTATAAATATTTTTCAGGCGCTTAATATAAGCATTTCAGAAAGCTTGTTCAAAATACCCACCCATCCCCTGAATATCAAAATGCCCACTTCACTGTGTCCTCAGCATCACTGGATCTTCTAATTCTTCCAGTACTTTTCCCCTTGAAATATGAAAAATGATATATTGTTTTATTGTGCATTTTTTGACTGTTAGTGGAGTCTGGCATTTTTCCATATGCTTATTGGCCTTCTCTGTTCTTCTTTTATGGTTCGGTTATTTATGTTCTTTGCCCTTTTTTCTATCATGCTTTTATATTCTTCTTACTAAACTATAAAAGATCTTATATAAACATGAAAGATAATGTAAATATTCCTTTATATTGTCTTCTGGTTTTAAGATGGTAATTTTGACATTTATTCTTTAATTCACCTGGAATGTATTTTAATATATGGTATATGACAGCAGTTCCCACACTTTAATGAGAACTAGGTACCCTACTCTGCACACTGGGGTGGAGCTTGGGAACCTAAATTTTAATAAGTACTTCAAGGAATTCTGATGCCTGTAAACACCTTTGAAAAACACTGATATAGTGAAGGAACCTAATTTTATTTTAGTAATGGATGAATTGCCTCAGTACATTTATCAAATTACCCTTCCTTACCAATTGCTGTGAAATGCCAAATAATAAACTACATTCCTATATCCCACTTGGGTCTATTCTTAAGCTTTATTCAATTTCTATTCCATTGATTATCTTTCAATTTTCGTGTCAGAACTATTATTTTATTATTAAGGCCTTGGAATACACATATCTGGACATAGAAATACTCATACAACGCTTATTTTACAAAATTTTCTTGGCCATTCTTACCAATTTGTTAATTACCAGATAACCTTTGTAACATTTCTCCCAAAAATCCTTTTAGAATTTTGCTTGATAGTCCCATAAACTGAAAACATAATTTAGAAATATTAGTATCAAAATGACAGCTACTATCTACTGAGCCATTTCCATGTAGCAGGTACTGCTCTAGGCCCTTCACACATACTAACTCACAAAAACCTTGTAGATGGGAGAGTGGAGGCCCAGAGATATTTAGCGATTTAACCAAGATTACACATCCAGTAAGTAGTAAAGCTGGCACTTGGATCCAGTTAACTATAGCACTTTTCCTCTTGGCAGCTTGCAGCCCTGTGTCACATACATTCAAAATACTCAGTCCTAGAAGGGGCTTCAAGATGGCTAACTAGATGCATCTTACACAAAGAGGAACCAAAATAGCAAGTAGATAATCAAACTTTGAATAGATCATCTGGAAGGAGAAGGAAGGGAGGTAGCCTGCTTAGCTGGGATTGGCCGTGAGTCTGGAGAGGCTCCCTAATGCGGGGAAAGGGTTAAGAGAGAGATCTCCAGCAGTCCAAATTCCCACCACACACCTACAGTCCTAGCCAGAGGGTTGAGAGCCCCTCAACTCTCACAGCCCCAAGTCTGACATTCGGAGCTCCCTGGAGACTGCATTGCTCTAGAGAGCAAGCTCACACTGGTTTTCACACACCTTGGAGTCTGAAGCAGCTGCAGCACAATGCCATTTTGAGAGCCTAGCTCCCACTAGACTCTGTCCTGTCCTGCCACTGGGCTGAGGTGAGAGTCAGGAGCAACATCCCCATTCCCCAAACAGAGTAGTGGCCATGTATTTTCGCACGCCCCAAGGACATATTCCCCTGCCTGTAATTACCACCTGCAGGCTGCTGCAGGGCTGAAGTATGAATAAAGATTGCAACCCGTTATGAAAACTTCCTATCTTGGGTGCTTCTAGAAAAAGCAACCCTGCTCTCCCCAGTAGCAGGACTAGGACTACAACACAAACACTGCTGCCCCACCTGAGCAGGCTTACAGCCTGGGGATCACCCTGCTCCTGACTACTGAAGTCAGCACCCATATACACCACTGGGTGGCCTGAGGTAAGGTCCGCCCAGCCCAGCTCCATCCCCATGACACCCAAGCGTACCATCCAGGGGTCTGGGGATTGCCCAGCCCAGCCCACCACCAGTGACATGTGAGGACTTCTCCTAGGGTCTGAAGTCAGGTCCACTCCACCTACTGCCACCACCTTAGTGGGAGCCACCCACATGCATCACCTATGGCTCTGGGGACCTACCTGTCCAAGCTGTCAGAGACACACCAATATAAAAGTGGATTGCTTGGGTCCCAGAAGGTCGTCTGACCACTGCTATAGCCATTGCTCATGCCATTCCTGTTGCCCAGGGGCACAAGAGCCCACCTACCTGCGCAACCTATTTCTGTTGCCATTTGTGGCACCCAAGCAAGCCACCTGGAGGCCCAAGAATGGGCCTGCCTGGACTAACACCAAATCCAGTGAACATCATTGTGGGACCCAAGGACAGGCATGCTCAGCCAAATGATACCATCTCAGGTACCCAAAGTATGGCCCACCTGGCATCCCAGTCCCTCAAAAAATCTTCACCATAGCCTCCCCTAACAACCATACCCCAAGCCACCAAGAAAATCATAGACACTGTTTACAGCTAATAAATCATATAGAGAATACACTACTGAACACGCCCAGAATCAAAGCCAAAGTACCCTACCCAACCAACAGCATAGATGCATTTTCAGGAAACAGTTGTCCCCCACGAAAGCAAATTCAAAACATTGGAAGAAGTGACTGACACTGTGACACCATATCTGCAGATATCAACATAAGGACACAAGAAACATGAAAAAGAAAGGAAACACAATACTGCCAAAAGAACACAGTAACTCTCCACCAACAGATTCCAATCAAAAAGAAATTTATGAAATTCCAGTTAAATAATTCAAAATAATGATACTAAAGAAGTTCAGTGAGATACAAGATAATTCAGAAAAATAAGGTATGAATGAGAAATTTACCAAAAAGCTAGATATCCAAAAAAGAACCAAATAGAAATTCTGGAACTGAAGGATTCACTAAATGAAATACAAAATACATTTGAAAGCTTTGATATTAGATTAGATCAAACAGAAGAAAGAATCTCAGAATATCAAGGTGTTTTAAAATAATCCAGTCAAACAAAAATTTTTAAAAAAGAATTTTAAAAGAATGAGGAACAAAGTTTTTGTGACACATAAAACATCATAAAGTGACAAAATATTCTTATTTTTGGTGTCCCAGAAGGCGAAAAGAAAACAAAAGAGTTAGAAAACCTGTTAAATGAAACAAAAGATGAAAATATCTCAAGTCTAGCCAGAGATTTAGTCATCCAGAAACAGGAAGTTCAGATTTCCCTAAAATAAACAAAATTCAAAAAGGTTTTTACCATGGCATATTTTAGTGAAACTGTTGAAAGTCAAAGACAGAGAAATTCTAAAAATAGCAAAGGAAAAGCATCTAGTCATCCATAAATGAACCCCTATCAGACTAACAGAAGATTTCTCAGAAGAAACCTTACAGGTCAGGAGAGAATGATACAATATATTCAAAGTGCTAAAAGAAAGAAACTACCACTCAAGTATACTATACCCAGAAAAATTTTCCTTCATAAATGAAGGAGAAATTAAGTCTTTCCCAGACAAGCAAATGCTGAGGAAATTCATCACCACTGGACCAGCTCTACAAGAAATTCTTGAAAGAGTCCTGCACCCAGAGGAGAAACAACAATAACTACCATCATGAAAACATAAAAACCACTGGTAGAGCAAACATACAAACAAGGAAAAGAAAAAACTTAAATGTAACCACTACAGAACACCATCAAACCACAATGATAAACAATAAGAGAGAAAGAAAGGAACAAAGGACATACAAAACAACCAGAAATCAATTTTTTAAATAACAGGAATAAGCCCTCACGTTTCAAAAATAACCTTGAATGTAATCAGATTACCTTTACACTTAAAAGATATAGATTGGCTGAAATAGAAAAAAAAATGATCCAACTATTTTCTGCCTGCTAAAAACTCATCTCACCTATAAGGACACAGATAGACTGAAAATAAGGGAATGGAATAAGATATTCCATGCAAATAGAAACTAAAAGTGAGTAGGAATAGCTATACTTTTATCAGATAAAACAGACTTTAAGTCAAAAACAGTAAAAATAGACAAACAAGGTCATTGTATGATAAAGGGATTAACTTAGAGGATATAGCAGTTCTAAATATATATCCACCCAACACTGGGGCACACAGATATTTGAAGCAACTATTATTAGATCTAAAGAGAGAGACAGACTTTAATACAATAATACTTGGGCATCAAATCCCACTTTAAGCATTAAACACATCATCTAGACAGAAAATAAGCAAAGAAACATCGAATTTAAACTGCATATTAGACCAAATGGAGCTAAGAGAAATTTAAAGAACATTCTCCTCATCGGCACACAGAACATTCTGGATAATTAATCATATGTTAGGGCACAAAACAAGTCTCAAAACACTTTTTTTTAAAACCAAAATCATATCAAGTATCTTTTCAGACCACAGTGGAAATCAGTGACAAAAGGAACTTTGAAAACTGTACAAATACATTAAAATTAAACAGCATGCCCCTGAATGACCATCGGGTCAAGTAAGAAATTAAATAAAAAATTTTTTAAAAAAAATGTTGAAACAAATGAAAGTCAAAATACAACATACTAAAACCTACAGGATATAGCAAAAGCAGTGCTAAGAAGGAAGTTTATAGCAATAAATGAGTACCTCAAAAAAGTAGAAAAATTTCAAATAATCTAATGATAAACCTCAAGGAACCAAAAATGGAAGATAAAACCAAACCCAGAATTAGTAGAAGAAATAATAAAGATAAGAGCAGAACTAAACAAAATAGAGACTAAAAAGTACAAAGGATAAATGAAATAAAAAGTCATTTTCTTAAAAACAAATAAACAAAATTGATATACCACTTGCTACAGTAACCTAGAAGAAAAGAGAAGACCCCAATAAACAAAATCTGAAATAAAAAAGGAGACATTACAACTGATATCACAGAAATACAAAAGATCATCAGAGATTATGAACAATTATATATTAACAAACTAGAATACCTAGAGGAAATGGATAAATTCCTTGACACATACAGCCTACCAAGATTGAATCTGAAAGAAATAGAAAACCTGAGCAGACCAGTAATGAATAATGAGATTCAATCCATAAAAAAATGTCTCCCAACAAAGAATAGTTTAGGATTGGATGGCTTCACTGATTAATTCTACCAAATTTTCAAAGAAGAAATAACACCAATTATCCTCTAACTATTCCAAAAAATTTAAAAAGAGGAAATTCTTCCTAACTCATTCTATGAGGCCAACATACCTTGATACCAAAACCAGATAAGACACAACAAAAAAAGTAAACTACAGGTCATATCCCTGAAGAACACAGAAATAAAATTTCTTAACAAAATACTAGCAAACCAAATCCAACAGCATATCAAAAAAGTAATATACCATTGTATTAGTTCATTCTCCCACAAATCCAAACTGTATCATTCCACCCTGACCCCTCCCAAATCTCATGTTCTCGTCACACTGCGAAATACAATAATCCCTTTTCAACAGTTCTCCAAGTCTTGACTCATTTCAGCATTAACTCAAAACTCCACAGCCCAAAGTCTCATCTGAGACAAGGCAAGTCCCTTCTGCCTATGAGCCTGTAAAATCAAAAATAAGTTATTTGCTTCTAAGATACAATGGGGGTACAAGCACTGGGTAAATACTCCCATTCCAAAAGGGAGAAATAAGCTAAAAGAAAGGGACTACAGGCCCCATGCAAGTTTGAAACACACCAGGGCAGTCATTAAATCTTAAAGCTCCAAAATAATCTCCTTTGACTCCATGTCTCACATCCAAGCTACCCTGATGCAAGGGGTATGTTCCCAAGGCCTTGGGCAGCTCTGTTCCTGCGGCTCTGCAGGGCTCAGTGCCCATGGCTGCTCTCAAGAGCTGGCATTGACTGTCTGCAACTTTTCCAGGTGCATGGTACAAGCTGTCAGTGTGGCTACCATTCTGGGGTCTGGAGGGTGGTGAAACTCCTTTCACAGCTCCACTCCCAGTGGAGATTCTGTGTGGGAGCTCCAACCCCACATTTCCCCTCTACATTGCCTTAGTAGAGGTACTCCATGAGGGCTCTGCCCCTGCAACAGACTTCTGCCTGGACATCTAGGCTTTTCCATACATCTTCAGAAATCTAGGCAGAGGCTCCCAAGCCTCAACTCTTGCACTCTGTGCACCCACAGGCTTAACACCAAGTAGAAGCCTCCAAGGCTTATGGTTTGCACCTTCTGAAGCAGCAGCCTATGTACCTGGGACCCTTTGAACCATGGCTGAAGCTGGAGCAGCTGGGATACAGGGAGCAGTGCCCCAAGGCTGCATATGGCAGCAGGGCCCTGTGACTGACCCATAAAACCATTCTTCCCTCCTAAGCCTTTTGGCCTGTGATGAGAGGGGCTGCCTCAAAGGTCTCTGAAATGCCTTCAGGGACTTTTTCCCATTGTCTTGGCTGTTAATACTTGCTTTCCTTTCAGTTATGCAAACTTCAGTTATGCAAACTATGCAGCTGGCTTGAATTCCTCCCCGGAAAATGGGTTTTTCTTCTCTACCACATGGGTGGGCTGCAAATTTTCCAAAACTTTTACCCTCTGCTTCCCTTTTAAATATATAAGTTCGGGGGGCAAGGCAGGCGCCGAGGTTTGCAAGGGCTCACAGTGGCCAGAAACCTGGCTCAGAGCAGTGGCAGCCCACTGCCCGTGAGCTAAGGACAGTCCACTCCCTCTCGCCGGCTCCAAATCCTGATCCAGGCGGGGGCCAGAGGCCCCTCGCCTCCCCTCTGAGGACCAAAGATGAGCTTCCTCTTCAGCAGCTGCTCTTCTAAAACATTCAAACTGAAGAAGAATATCCCTGAAGGATCTCATCAGTATGAACTCTTAAAACATGCAGAAGCAACTCTAGGAAGTGAGAATCTGAGACAAGCTGTTATGTTGCCTGAGGGAGAGGCTCTCAATGAATGGATTGCTGTAAATACTGTGGATTTCTTTAACCAGATCAACATGTTATATGGAACTATTACAGAATTCTGCACTGAAGCAAGCTGTCCAGTCATGTCTGCAGGTCCAAGATATGAATATCACTGGGCAGATGGTACTAATATTAAAAAGCCAATCAAATGTTCTGCACCAAAATACATTGACTATTTGATGACTTGGGTTCAGGATCAGCTTGATGATGAAACTCTTTTTCCTTCTAAGATTGGTGTCCCATTTCCCAAGAACTTTATGTCTGTGGCACAGACTATTCTAAAGCGTCTGTTCAGGGTTTATGGCCATATTTATCACCAGCACTTTGATTCTGTGATGCAGCTGCAAGAGGAGGCCCACCTCAACACCTCCTTTAAGCACTATTTTCTTTGATCAGGAATTTAATCTAATTGATAGGTGTGAGCTGGCACCTCTTCAAGAATTAATAGAGACATTTGGATCAAAAGACAGATAAATGTTTCTTCTAGAACACAGTTACCCTCGTTTCATCTATTGCTAGAACTATCTCATTGCTATCTGTTATAAACTAGTCATACAGACTTTAAGAAAACAGGATAAAAAGATACCCATTGACTGTGTCTACTGATAAGATTATCCCAAAAGTAGGTTGGCATGATAGTTTCCGAGTAAGACCTTAAAGACACAGCCAAATCTTAAGTACTGTGTGACCACTCCTGTTATTATCACATAGTCATACTTGGTTGTAATATGTGATGGTTAACCTGTAGCTTATAAATTTACTTATTATTCTTTTACTCATTTACTCAGTCATTTCTTTACAAGAAAATGAGTGAATCTGTTTTAGGTGACAGCATAATGGACGTGAAGAATTTGCATCAGTAATTTATGAATGAGTTTCCAGAACAAATTTCTGAATAACACAATCAGATTGGTTTTATTCTTTTATTTTACAAATAAAAAATGTATTTTTCAGTAAAAAAATAAAATAAATAAATAAATATATATATAAGTTCTAGTTTCAGGTCATTTCTTTGCTCATGTATGTGAGCATATGGTATTAGAAGTAGCCAGGCCATATCTTGAATGCCTTGCTGCTTAGAAATTTCTTCTACTAGATACCCTAAATCATCATTCTCAAGTTCAAAGTTACACAGATTCCTAGAGCAGGAGCACAATGCCACCAACCTCTTTGTTGACACATAAGAAAAGTGACCTTTGCTGCAGTTCCCATTAAATTCCTCACCTCCACCTGAGACCTAATCAGCCTGGTGTTTACTGTCCATATCACTATCAGCATTTTGTTCACAACCATTTAACAAGTCTCTGGGAGGTTCCAAACTTTCCCTCATCTTCCTATTTTCTTCTGAGCCTTCCAGAGTGTTCCAAACTCTGCCCATTACTCAGTTCCAAAGTTGCTTCCACATTTTCAGGTATCTTTATAGCAATGCCCTACTTCTCAGTACCAATTTTCTATATTAGTTCGTTCTAATACTGCTATAAAGAAATACCTGAGACTGGGTAATTTATAAAGAAAAGAGGTATAATTGGCTCACAGTTCTTCAGACTGCACAGGAAGCATGGTCTCAGGAAACTTACAATCGTGGCAAAAGGTAAAGAGAAAGCAGGCACGTCTTACATGGCTGGAGCAGGAGGAAAAGACAGAAGGGGGAGGTGCTACACACTTTTAAACAACCAGATCTCATGAGAACTCACTATCATGAGAACAGAAAGGGTGAAATCCGCTCCCATGTTCCAATAACCTCACACCAGGCCCTCCTCCAACACTGAGGATTGCAATTTGACATGAGATTTGGGAAGGGGCACGAATCCAAACCATATCAACCGTGATCAAGTGGGATTTATCCCAGGGATTTAAGGATAATTCAATATATAAAATCAAATGTGATAAATCACATCAACAGAATAAAAGGGGAAAAAACATATGATCATTTTCAATAGGTGAAGGAAAAGAATCTAATAAAATTCATCATCCCTTCATGGATAAAACTCTTAACAAATTAAGCATTTGAAGGAACATAACTCAACATAATAAAGGTCATATATGACAAACACACAGCTAACAGCATACTGAATTGGGGGAAGGACAAGGATGCCTATTTTTGCCACTCCTATTCAACACAGTCCTGGTAGTCCTAGCTAGAGCAACCAGGCAAGAGAAAGAAATAAAAGACATCCAAACTGGAAAGGAGAAACTCAAATTGTCTTTGTTTGCATATAATATGATATTATGTCTAGAAAAGACTCACCAAAAACTCTTAAGTCTGATAAATTCAGTAATGTTGTAGAGTAACAAATCAATATACAAAAATCAGTAGTGTTTCAAGGAACTAGCTAAGAAAGAAATCAAGAAGACAATCCTATTTTCAATAGCTACAAAAAATAAAATACCTACAAATAAAATTAACCAAAGAGGTAAAAGATCTCCACAAGGAAAACTACAAAACACTGGTGAAAGAAATTGAAGAGGACACAACAAATGGAAAGACATCCCAGGCTCATGAATTAGAAGAATTAATATTATTATGACCATTCTGCCAAAAGCAATCTACAGATTCAATGCAATCACCATCAAAATAACAATGTCATTTTTCACATAAATAGAAAAAAATTCCTAAAATTCATATGAAATCATAAAAGAGCCTGAATAGCCAAAGAATTCTGGAACAAAAGAAACAAAGCTGGAGGCATCACACCACCTAACTTCAAAATATATTACAAGGCTATAGTAACCAAAATAGCATGGTATTGGTATAAAAACAGACACATAGACCAATAGAACAGAACTGAGACTCCAAAAATAAACCCAAGTATTCACAGTCAACTGACTTTCAACAAAGGCGCCAAGGGCATACAACCGGGGAAAGGATACCTTCCTCAGTAAATGGTGCTGGGAAGAGTGGATATCCATAGATCCATAGACTGAATATCCAGAAGACTGAAAGTGGACCCCTCTCTCACAATGTACAAAAATCAACTCAAGATTAAGTAAAGACTTAAACATAGACCCAAAACTATAAAACTGCTAGAGGAAAACATAGGGAAAATATTTCAGGACCTTGGTCCTAGGCAAAGATTTTATAGCTAAGACCTCAAAAGCACAGGCAACAAAAACAGAAATAGACAAATGAAATTATAATAAGCTTAAAAGCTTCTGCACAGGAAACAACCAACAGAGTGAACAGGCAATCTGTTAAAATGGGAAAAAAATTTGCAAAGTATTCATCCAATAAAGGACTAATGTCTAGAATATATAAGAAACTCAAACAACTCAGCATTAAAAAACAAGCAAATGAAAAAATATTTTCTTTAAAAAGTGGGCAAAGGACTTAAATAGACATCTCTCAAAAAAATACAAATAGACAACAGGTATATGAAAAAATGATCAGCATCACTAATCACCAGGGAAATGCAAGTCAAAACCACAATGAGATATGATCTTAGACCAGTTAGAATGGCTATCATTAAGAAGACAAAAAATAACAGATGCTGATGAGGATATGGAGAAAAGGGTACTCATACACTGTTGGTAGGAACATAAATTAGTACAGGCACTATAGAAAGCAGTATGAAGATTTCTCAAAAAAACTGAAAATAAAACTTCCATATGATTCAGCAATCCAACTACTGGATATTCATCCAAAGGAAAAGAAATCAGTATATCAAAGGGATATACATACTCACGTGTTTATTGCAGCACTACTCATAAACACCAAGATATGGAATCAATCTAAGGTCCATCAATGGACAAATGCATAAATAAATTGTGGTATACTAGACCACATATGCATAAACCACAAATGCATGAAGAAGATGGAATACTATTCAGCTATACAAAAGAATGAAATCCTGTAAGTTGCAGCAACATGGGTGGAACTGGGGGTCATCATGTTAAGTGAAATAAGGCAGACACAGAAAGACAAATTTCACATTGTTTTACTCATATGTGGGAGCTAAATACGTTGATCTCCTGGAAATAGAGAGTAGAATGATAGATACCAGAGACTGGGAAGGGTGTGTACATGGCAGGGCAGGGGTGGAGAGATGAAAAGAGATGGGTCAATGGGGACAGACGATACAGATAGACAGAAGTTTTAAGTTCTAATATTCAGTAGCAACGTTAAGAAAAATAAATTGTATGGTTCAAAGTAACTGGAAGAGAGAAATTGAAATGTTCTCAACATACAGAAATGATAAATCCTCAAGGTGATAGATACCCCAACAACTGATTTGATCATTAGACATTCTATGCATTCAACAAAGTATGACAAGTACCCCATAAATATGTAAAATAGTAGGTATCAATTAGAAAATATGCAGTCTTCCAATTCATAAACATGGTATTCTTTTTCACCAATTCAAATAATCTTTAATGACTTTCAGCAATGTTTTGTAATTTTTAAAATTTGTCCAACTTATTTTTTATTCTGCTTATTTTAGGTATTTTCTATGTTAGACAATTAAAATGAAATATTTTGTATTACAGCATTTTCCAAGTGGCTAATATTGATACACAGGAAAGCCACAGCATATAAAGCATTCATGTTGCCTGGGCACCTTAATGAACTCTCTTATTAATGCTAATAATGTTTCTATCAATGTTCTTAAGTTTTCTTGGAAGGTAACTACATAATTTTTAAATAATTATAATTTTGTTTCTTTTCAACAGCTGTGTCTTCTGTTGGGTTCCATGCCTTATTGCATGAAATCATATTAAGTGGTAGAGGTTGGAATAAGGGTCAACATTCTTATCATATTGTTGCTTTTAATAGGAATATCTCTATTCTTTCCCTATTTTCTACAATGTTGCTTGTTAGTATAGACAAGTGGGGTTGTTTGTTTGTTCGTGGTTTTTTTGAGACAGAGTCTCACTCTGTTACCCAGGTTGGAGTGCAGAGGTGCAATCTCGGCTCACTGCAACCTCCACGTCCCAGGTGCAAACGATTCTTGTGCCTCAGTCTCCCTAGTAGCTGGGATTACAGGTGCATGCCACCACATCCAGTTAATTTTTTTTTTTTAGACGGAGTCTCGCTGTCGCCCAGGCTGGAGTGCAGGGGTGCGATCTTGGCTCGCTGCAAGCTCTGCCTCCCAGGTTCACGCCATTCTCCTGCCTCAGCCTCCCGAGTAGCTGGGACAGGTGCCCGCCACCACGCCTGGCTAATTTTGTTATTGTATTTTTAGTAGAAACAAGTTTTCACCATGTTGGTCAGGCTGGTCTTGAACTCCTGGCCTCAAGCGATCTGCCCACCTCAGTCTCCCAAAGTGCTGGGATTACAGGCACAAGTCACTACATCCTGGTCTGACAAGTGTTCTTTTACATATTAAGAAAACATTCTTTGCACTATAGCACTTACAATTTTTTTTTATTATTATACTTTAAGCTCTAGGGTACATGTGCACAACGTGCAGGTTTGTTACATATGTATACATGTGCCATGTTGGTGTGCTGCACCCATTAACTCGTCATTTACATTAGGTATATCTCCTAATGCTATCCTTCCTGCTTCCCCCCTCCCCACAATAGGCCCAGGTGTGTGATGTTCCCCTTCCTGAGCTTTAAAGTTCATATGGAACCAAAAAAGACTCTGCATTGCCAAGACAATCCTAAGCCAAAAGAACAAAGCTGGAGGCACCATGCTACCTGACTTCAAACTATACTACAAGGCCACAGTGACCAAAACAGCATGGTACTGGTACCAAAACAGAGATCTAGACCAATGGAACAGAACACAGCCCTCAGAAATAATACCACACATATACAGCCATCTGATCTTTGAC